ACCACAACCACGCACACACGCACGCACGCACGCACGCGCACCACCACCCACTAGTTACGCACGCGCGCGCGGAGCCACAGGTCCGCTGCGACACGCGTCCGCGGATAGAGAAAATCAGCGCCATGGTAAGGGATGGGAGGGAGGGGTAGGACGTCAGATATGACGCGAGCGCACCTAGCTTGCCCCCTCCCCCTCCCCTCCTCCTTCTCCCCTCCCCTCCTCCCCCTCCCTCCTACTCCCCCTCCTCCCCCTCTCTCCTCACCCCTTCCCCTCCTTCCCCCTCCCCTCCTCCCCCCTACCCTCCTCCCTCCCCTCCCCTCCTCCCCCTCTACAATTACTCAATGTGAATACTACTCTCCCTCTTCCCCTGATGACGTCTTGGGAGTATTCGCCCGCCCCCGGTATTGTTTTTTGCACACAGGATTCCCCGGAGTTGGGTTTTCGCCTGCATTTGTTTCCAAAATGATGCTCTCGCTGTGGCGCTGGCCTCATTTTCGGGCCTCGCTCGCTCCGAGTCGTGCTCCCGCTGCAGTGTTGGCCTCATTTCCGCGCTTCCGCTCGTTCCGACTCGTGTTCCCGCTGCAGCGCTGGCGTCATTTCCCGTGCCATGCCACGGCATGCAATGCAATGCTAGGTTGATACTACGCTTTGCGGTGCTCTTCTACGCCATGCCATGCCGTGCTCTACAATGCATCGCGTACCCTTTCGGGATCATTGCCCTGCTCGACATCCGACTGTGCGAGTAGAGAGGGGATCTGCGCCATGGTAAGGGATGGGAGGGAGGGGTAGGATGTCAGATATGACGCGAGCGCACCTAGCTTGCCTCCTCCCCCTCCCATCCTCCCCCTCCCCTCCTCCCCCTCCCCTCATCCCCCTCTGCAATTACACAATATAAATACTACTCTCCTCCATCCCCTGATGGCGTGCGGAAGATAGCGGGCACCCCTCCGCGTAGTGTTTTTTACACACAGGATTTCCCGGAGTTGGGTTTTCGCTTGGGTTGTTTTCAAAATGATGCTCTCGCTGGGGCGCGGGCTTCATTTTCGGGCTTCCGCTCGTTCCGAATCGTGCTCCCGCCGCAGCGCTGGCCTCATATCCGTGCTTCCGCTCGTTCCGAATCGTGCTTCCGCTGCAGCGCTGGCTTCATTTCCGCGCTTCCGCTCGTTCCGAGTCGTGCTCCCGCTGCAGCGCTGGCCTCATTTCCGTGCTTCCGCTCGTTCCTAATCGTGCTCCCGCTGCAGCCCTGGCCTCATTTCCGCGCGTCCGCTTGTTCCGAATCGTGCTCCCGCTGCAGCGCTGGCGTCATTTCCCGTGCCATGCCACGGCATGTAATGCAATGCCAGGTTGCGTTCCGCTGCGCGATGCCATGCCTTCAGCTGCAGCTGTCATATCCAGTGCTTAAGTGCCACGTCATGCTATGCCATGCTACGCTTTGATCTTCAACGCCATGCTATGCACTGTTACGTTCGGGGCCATGGTGCGATGCCATGCGTTGCGTTGCAAAGCTTTGTGATGCAATTCTTCACTACGCCACGCCACGCCATGCTGTGACATACTACGCTTTGCGGTGCTCTTCTACGCCATGCCACGCCGTGCTCTGCAATGCACCGCGTGCCCTTTCGGGGTCATTGCCCTGCTCGACATCTGACCTTTCAAGTAGAGAGGGGATCTACGCCATGGTAAGGGATGGGAGGGAGGGGTAGGATATCAGATATGACGCGAGCGCACCTAGCTTGCCTCCCCCCTCCCCTACTCCCCCTCCCCTCCTCCCCCTCCCCTCCCCCCCTTCCCTCCTCCCCCCCTTTCCCTCCTCCCCTCCCCTTCTCGCTACCTCCCCCCCTCCCCTCCTCCCCCTCCCCTCCTCCCCCTTCTCGCTACCTCCGCCCTTGACCTCCTACACCCCTACCGAGAATTGAAGCAGACACGCTAAGTGATTGGGCGTCGCTCCAAGCGCTTTCTTGACCAGTGGACTTCGCTCCAAGCGTTTTCGGAACCAGTAAGCCCAAGCCCGCAGATACGAACATTCTACGTAACAGAAAAGTTCCAAGAAAACGCACATTCCACAACGGCCCCTCGGGCCCTCGCCGGCCCCGAGGGGCCGTTGTGGAAAACGGCTCAAGATGCGAGCAGGGGATCGACTGCAGAGGTGGTTCTTTCCAAAGGAAGAATTTTCCCGCCGAAGCTACGCACAAAAGGTCGAAGGCTCCGTCGATCTGCGGAGCATCCCGCGATTTTTTCGTAGATCCAGCGAATCTACGAAACATGCAGCGTACTCCGTCGATCTACGGAACACCCTGCGCAATCTGTCGCAGGTTCGACGGCACCTTACGCGACTGGGCCCTGGGGGCGCGGCCTAGACCGCTGGGGGCCCACGACGTAGTATTACGACGTCGGAGGTCTGGGTCCGTTTTGAGCAGGGACCGACCGTCCCGGCATTCCTATAGTCCTACCACGGAACGTTTTTAGAACCCAAAGCTGTTCTCATCACAAAAGCAATGTTTTTAGAACCTCATAAACCCGATGTGTTAAAACGAGACAATATCAACCAGACATGTTCGAAGAACATTTCGTGGAAACCACAAGGGGTCCTTAGAACATTATTTGGTAGGGTTATAGGCGAGCCAGGACGCTTCGCCAATGATTGACCGTTCCTCTCCCTCATCCCCTCCCGCCGCCGTGCAGCACAGACTGCGCTGCCGGCAGGAGCAGCTGCTGGGCCGGGACCTACAGGCTTAGAAAGCACACAGGGCTCAGCTCGCTATTCCCCAATCAGTGCTTGCACTGAAGGGGTCCTAGCGGAAGTTGAAAGATCAGGGGAACCTTTCCTGCCGATGTTGGTGGCAGGCTGGGTTCCGGGGTTCCCGGTTCCGGGTTCCCGGTTCCGGGTTCCCGGTCATTGGTTCCAGGCCGATTTCGGTGGTTCTGGGTTCCTGGGCTCCTAGGTTCCCGGTCGATCTTCTCAGCAAAAACCATCCACTGATTAGGGGTTCTCTCTGGTGTAATATAGAAACTGGTTTCCCTCGAAAACGACAATAACCCTTCCCAAACCCGCCCGAAACCCTTCGAAGAGCCTCCGGGAACCCTTCCATGGAGGGTTCTTATAAAGGGCTTCGCAAGGGTTCCAGCCGTTTTGCAAGGAAACCAGCCCATAGCGAACCTGGATTTTCTAACCCTATGGGCCAGCGGCCGCCCCCCCGGCCAGCACCTCAGAGCTGAGCACAGAGCCCAGAATGCAACCACCGTCGCTTCCCTCCCCACTCTCTGGAGGCCGCCCACATGTGGTCCGACCGCCCCCTGGCCGGGGATCTATTGACCCGGGTCAATCCAGACCCAGGCCAGTCGGGCTTCGCAGCACCCTGCAAGCTCCTGCAGGGTCCTGCGCCCGAGCCTGGGTCAGTGCAGCCCTGGCTCTGCAGGATCCTGCAAGATCCGGCGCCCCGTCTGCATTGACCCCCGTCTCTCGAGCCCCGACCCAGTACTCGGACCCCACTTCTGGGGGGTCGCATAGAGACGGCCCGGGGAAGGGCCTCAGGCCGGGTGAGAGGACCACCGCTCCGGACAGCCCCTGGAAGAAGGAACACGTGAGCCTCCAGCCAAGCCCGTGCCCCGACATCTGCGCGGCCTGGATCCGCAGGGGGACGGGGAGGGACGAGGAGGAGGGAGGAGGACGGAGAGAGGCGAAGGCGGAGCAGGAGGATGCGAGGGAGGATGCGAGGGAGGACGTGGAGGGAGGCAGAGGGAGGGAGGGGGAGGCGGGATGAGCAAGAGGAGGAAGATCTCGCCCTTCCCCCCAGACATGGATCCAGGACTCTGGGCGTTTCCTGGCCCGCCATGGGCCTCCGGGAGCCTATAAGCAAGCGCCTCGAGGAGGGCCTCCCGGGCCCTCCAGGGGGGCCCTCCCTTCGGCGTTGCCGAGTGGGGGCGCGAACAGAAAACACGGGGGGGCGAAGACACGCACACCGTTCATTCACCTTTGGGGCCCCACGGGGCCCCTGCAGGGCCCCGAAAGAGCAACGGAATGCGCACGTCTTCCACCCCCCCGTCTGCCGCTCCACCCACTATACGCAACGCCCGACTCCCGGATCTAGAGAGACGTCTGGGGGGTCAGGATCCAGCGGGGCGCTAAAATTTACTCCTCCACCTCCTCCTCCTCCTCCTGCTCCTGCTCCGGCTCCTCCTCCTGATTGCATTTTCCTTATAAGTGACTCCTTCCTGTCCCACCCTCAGACGTGTCGGTAGGGCGGGCCAGGCGTTTCGCCTAAGACTTGCGCACCATGTGTGATTCTGAAATTTGATGGTTTCAACAGCTTCGCGGATGGAGGGCGTGTCGTTTTCATAGTGTGGCTCTCGCTTTAGAACCGCGCACATTCTTGATAACACCTTGCAGCAATTCGGCGAATGGGGAGCGGGCGGTTTTCAAAATGTAGCTCTTGCCTTCGCGCCGCGCACATTCGTCAAACACGTTCGCAACAGTCTCAAGGGTGGAGGGCGGCTCTTATTCAAAATGTGGCTCTCGCCTTAGCGCCGCGCGCACATTCGTTTTGAAAGTTCGCAACAACTCAAGGATTATTCGTATGGTTGAGTCCCAGGAATGGCATTCTGGCACGGTTTAGTACTGCCAGGACTCCACAGCCACGTCGATTGGCGGTGTTGAAGTTCCAGGAGCTGTAATCCGGCACGGCTTATGCCTGTCAGGGCGTACCAATCACGTGGAATCGAGGCGGTAAAGTCCCAGCAGCTGTGTTCTGGTACGATTGAGGATTCCCAGACGGTTGTCTTCCAACGGGGCATTTCCCGCAATGAAGATCCTTTATTGTCGGGCCCTGCAGGGACGGAACTTGGAGGGGTGGTTAATCGCAACTTCGTTGATGCGTCTTGGGTTTAATTACACTGGTCCTCCTCCTCCTCCTCCTCCTCCTCCTCCTCCTCCTCTCCACCTACTCCTCCTGATCCTCCGCCTCCTCCTCCTCCTCCTCCTCCTCCTCCAACTCTGATTCCTTCACCTCAGCCCCAAGGGTGCATAAATACTCTTAAAGACGGCCTGTGAAGTCCTTCAAATCCTGAGTGAGGCCGCAGCGGCCCAGCGAGGCCGTGGTCAGGCTGGGCTGCGCCCGTGCGCACGAAGACGCAGATCCTGGCGCCCCTGTTGCGGGGGAGGGGGGGGGAGCAGAGCCCCGCTCGTTCACAGGCGCTCCTCATCACCTCGCGCTCCCCTTCCACGAATACGCGTGGAACCAGATCTTCCCAGGGGACGAGTCACCAGTCTGCTCCGGGTCCTCGCAATATTTCACCCAGTCTCCGAACGCCGGCAGCCTGTTCCCAGAGCCGTCGATGACCTGGACGAGGTGGTAGTCGCCCTGGCCGCCGGAACCGTCCAGGCCGAGCGCCGGCACCGCGGACTGGCGGCGCCAGACCACAGAGTCCCGGTGCGGGCTGGAGCTGTGGTCCACCAGCGACATGTTGAAGGACAGCAGCCACGACGGCACCCTGACCCCGAGGACGTTCCGCGCCTCGGGTATGATCTGGGCAAACCTGGGGTCCGTGGCCGAGTCGAAGTGGAAGTCGTAGATGAGGTCGACCAGCTCCGCTAGCATGAACGACCCGCCGTCCACGGAGTGGAATGACCAGGAGCGGTCCCCACTAACTCGCACCTTGTAGGTGGCGTCGCTCTGGATGCTGCCGGGGCTGATGCCGCAGCCGTCGCTGGTGCGGCCGAACGACATCAGGGCGGAGGAGTCCCCCTGCTTCTGGAGCCAAAAGACCCCCTGCAGCTGCAGCGGCAGCTCGTGCCAGGCGCTGGTCAGCAACCCCGAGGTGACGTCCTGGCACGTGGCGGACTCGGTCCCGAGCACGCTCTGCGAGCAGCACTGGGCCGAGGAGGCGCCGCACTGGTCGGTGGGAACAAACTGCTCGGTGCCCCACCTGGAGACAAGAGAACACGCAGCCAGAAGCGTAAGCTTTCGGAGGTCCGCCAGGATGTCTTGGATCGGCGCTGGACTGTGCGCCAGGGGCGGCGCCAGAGGCGCCGCCATGGGGGTCCAGCCCCAGCGTAGATCCAAGAACTCCGCGGGGACCTTCGAAAGCCCCAAGCAGTATCAACGACACGCCGCCGCGGGGAACCCAGCAACTTGCTACTGTTGACGAGGCACGAGGCCTCCGGACAAAACCGAAGGAGCAACACGCCAGTGGACTACCAACGGCAGCGCGTCCTCGATACTCTCTCTCCACCTCCCGAGCTCATGCCGTTTGCCCTTCTTCGTCCACCGGGTCAGGCTGTCCCACGCCTGCGACGCGCTGTGCCCGAGCCGCACGTGCAGCGGCGCGCTGGCCTCGCACGACACGCGCGTCTGCCCGTCAACGGTCTGCCTGCGGACGGAGCACCCCCACGGGGCGGCCACCTCCTCGGGGGCATCTCAAGTGGGGTCCGAGCAGATGGGGTCGGAGGATTGCGCCGCACCGCGCATACACCGCCGACGCATCGGCGACGCCGGAGCGGAGAACGCCGGGCCTCACGTCGAGCCGCGTCGCCGATGCAGCGGCGACGCGGCGCGGGCATCCGCACCCAGCAACTCGGACCCCATCTGGGAGGTCCGAAAGCCTGCGCCACGGCCGTCAGGGCAGTGCACCTGTGCACCAGGCGGGCGACGTCCTCGCCGGGCTGCCAGTCGTCGCCCGCCCGCAGGCAGATGCACTCCGCCCGCCACTGTCCGCCGTCCCCCGTCTGCTGGCACTCGTGCGCCGCCGCCATGGCGTCGATCTCCGCCTGCTCTGGGCTGTAGGGCGGAGGCTGCTCCGCGTAGTCGTGGGCCGGGCACAGGCCGTCGCCCGCGGCCTCCGAGACCTCCTGCGCGGGCTTGTAGTAGCCGATGCCGAACAGCCAATTCCCGGGGCACTCGCCGCTCCCGGGCGCCTCCTCGACTCGCTTGCAGCAGACCACCTCCTCGGTGCCGGCGCCGTGGGTCTCGAGCGCGTAGCGCTGCAGGAGGGCCTTCGTACTGCAGGCCGACGTCTTGCAGCAGCACGGCGAGTGCCTGCAGAGCTTCGGCTTGCAGACCTCCCAGCGCCCGTCGTAGGTCTCGTCCGTGGAGCACCAGCCGCCCAGCTCGTAGTCGACGCTGGTGCAGCCGTGGAACTGCCTGCCCTTGTAGGTGAACGTCGGCTTGCACTTCTTCGGGGCGTCCCAGCAGGTGTGGTCCTGCCGCAGAACCGCGTATGACGAGGTCATGTACGAATTGACAGTGATCCTGGGGTCGGCCGCGTGCCAGGGCCCCACGGCCTCGAACTCCTTCAGGAACGTTTCTATGATCGCGATGGCAAGGTTCTTGGCGGGGCACTTGTGCTCGTGTGGGCCAGCTCCTCCAGCGGCCGTCGGCGGATGAGTGGCGAAGTCTGCGAAACCGAGAAATTTATCCATGTACTCCTTCATGGGACGGAACTTGTACGTCAGCGGGTCCTCCCACGCCGCTTCGTCTTCCAAGGCGCCGGCAATGTTGAGCATAATGTGTTTCCAGTTGCCGTCCTCGTCTTTCTCCCAATAAGGAAACGTCCCCACCGGTGGGTACACGCGCAGCGCCTCCCACACCACGGACGGGATGTTCTCCTCATCGAGCCTCAGCCCCTTGAGCTGCTCCCACTTGTCCTCCTCGCGCATGTGCGTCAGAGCTATGACGTACTGGATCATGGTGGGCACCGCGATGCCCCCGGCGAACTGCAGCGCGTCCAGGAACGCCGACGCAACCAGGTCCACCTCCTCGTACGTGAAGTCCCGGTCCAGGAACTTAGTGCGGATGGCCGCACGGTACCTCCTCAGGTACGCGCTGCGCCGTCCCTGCGTCTCCGAGATGCCGAGGGCCTGCCTGACCGGGCAGGTGTTGACCTGGCCCTCTGGGAGGGCCACGGGCAGGATGACCTTCCCCATGTAGTCCGCGAACTCCCGCGCCTCGGCCTCGGACAGGTCGATGTCCATGTGGGCCTTGTGCAGGATCTGGGTGACGTACCACTTGAAGTCGGAGCTGTCGATCTTGACGCGTCCGCCCTGGGGGGACCAAAAGGTACCGACACCGCTACGCCCTGGACCTCTCCCGGAGCGCCTTCTGACCAGACTTTGGAGGCGAATCCGACTGCGGCGGCGAGGGCCTCCCACGAGGAGGCCCACGAAGGAAAAACGAGGCAGAAGCAGCGGTATCGGTAGTACCTCTTCCTCCCCGGACGTCCACGAACTCCCTCGCCCGCTGGCTGAGCCAGGCCCTGTTCCAGCACGCGGAGCCGTCGCAGGCGCCCTCGCTGCGCTCCGCCAGGTCGAGGACCCTGGCGAGGAGCGGCCGCGCGAAGGCGTGGTTCTCCGCGCTGGCGCCCAGGAAGATGGTGCGCTCGCCGCCGGGCGCGTTGGGCCACATGACGCCGTTCTGGACCGCGATGCCGAGCTCGTTCTGCCGCTGGGCCTGGCCCGTGACCTTCTTTTCGCCGAAGGCCTCGAGCCGGCTCCTGACGTCGCCGTAGCCGAGGTAGAGGGTCCCGTTGGGGCCGTAACTCTTGACCTTGTTGGTGCCGGGCAGGTCCGCGTACCACTTCCGCATCGCCTCGGTGCTGGTGAGCCCCGCGATCAGGAACTCTACCTGCGACCGGTAGTCCGCTGAGCCCCCTCGCGGGGGGCCAGCAGGCTGCGAAGGCGAGGCTTCAGCACCTGACCAGCTTCGTCTTCACCATCGAAGCGGGGCCATGCGCAACACTGCGTGCTCCGTTCGACTACACGCAAGAGTGACCCTGAGTAAGAGTGACCTTTGGTGCGCGTTTTTTTGCGGGCCGCGGGGGGGCCCAACACAAGCGCGCAAGACGCCACTGCCGCCTCGCGCTCGGCGATCGGGGGACCCCATTGGGCCCGCGCCAAAGGTCACTCCGGCGAAAGGTCACTCTTACGTCTAGTCGATCCGTTTGAGCTCAGCAGCTCGGCACGGGTGATTTCCCAGTCTCCCGTTCTCAGAACACACAGGGCCGTGCGGTGCCGTCTTTTTTCCTGGGCGATCGCGGAAGCGACGGGGCAGCTCTCTCTGCGCGTCCAGTGCGACCTCCGTCGAGGTCGGGAGCACCAGAGTACGGCCTGGCCTCCCTGATAGGGCAAAACTCGCGCGCCTCCTCGACCCGAATCGGGTCCTCCTGCTTTCGGGCCAGATGGAGGCATCCCATCACTCTGCTGCAGGGCAGCCTCGACGTGGCCGATTCCTGAGACCCCGAGCCCCAAAAGTTTGCCATCTTTGGGGGGCGCACGTTCTACCTCTGTCGGCTTCCGCCGGCGGCGCCGCCTCCGTTTTACTCCCGCCGCCCTCTCTGCAGGCCTTCCACCGCTTTCCACGGATTCAGAGAGGGCAACTCCTTCGCTCAAAGGTGAAGCCTCTCTCTGGGGGAGCGAGCAATGGCATAAACATACAAACTCTGAGGTCCGCGCGGATTTCTCGGATCGGCGCTGGACCATTCTCCCTGGCGCGCGGAGCACGCCAGGGGCGGCGCCGGAGGCGCCGCCAGGGGGGTCCAGCGCCGATCCGAGAAATCCGCGCGGACCTCAGAGTTTTTATGGTTATGTCATTGTTCGCTTCCTTCTTTCTAGAGCGCCCCACGTGACATTCGCAAACTGCCCGTGACTCACCGGTGAGCGGCCCCTCAGGAGACGAGGTTCCGAGTTTCTGGGAAGGTACGCGCGGCACCCCTCGGCCCGAGAGCACGACGCCACCAGCCCTCTTGACCCCAAAATCCTCAGATTCGCGGCGCACCCTGGGACTGCGAGGAAATATCCTGGGCCCGTGCCCCAGAGCCCAGCAGGAGGAGGAGCAGAAGGAGGAGGAGGAGGAGGAGGAGGAGGGACAGCAGGAGGAGGAGCAGGAGGAGGAGGAGCAGGAGGAGGAGGAGCAGGAGGAGGAAGAAACAGAGGAGGAGAAGCAGGAGGGGGAGGAGGAGGAAACAGAGGAGGAGGAGCAGCAGCAGGAGGGGGAGGAAACAGAGGAGGAGGTGGAGGAGGAGGAGGAGGAGGAGAAGGAGGAGGAGGAGCAGGAGGAGGAGGAGGAGGAGCAGGAGGACCAGGAGAAGGAGAAGCAGGAGGAGGACGTGCCCCAGGAGGCCACGGCCCCGCGAAGGGGGAGCTGCGAGCCCGCGCTCCCCCGAGGCCACGAGCGCCCCGGCGAGGTCCCGTGTGGGCCTGCGCCCCTCGAGCGGCCGCGCGGCCCCGTGCGGGAGCGGCGACGGGTCCGGCGATGGGGCCGCGATCCCACATTCGAGCAGGGCATCGGCTACGGAGTTGACTTACCCCAAAATTCCTCCCCCATCGAATCTACGACGAAAGCCCAGGATGCGCATCCATCTACGGAGATTTCTGCCTATATTTTTTTCTGAGATTCCACGAGGAAGCCAATTTTGGGGTAAATCGATTCTGTAGTCGACCCCTAATCGGCACACGGAAGAATCGTGGGTCCGCCACGATCCCACAGTGAAGAACCCACAGAGGTCACGATCCGACGTCCACAGGATACACCATGGGTCCGCGCTTGGCCGTGGCCCAGAGCGCCTTCGTAAAGCAGCGATGGGTCCGCGCATCGAAGGCCGCGATCCCACATGGAAGAAGTGTGGGTCCGCCACGATCCCACAATATAGAACTTAGAGGTCACGATCCAACGTTCATAACATACACAATGGATCCGCGCTTCGCCGAGGCCACAACACCTCGCAACCATACCGGAGACGGTGTCCAACCCTTCCTAAACGCGAAGCGACTATCGACAGGACCAGTCGGTACAAACGAACACCATGAAAATCTGCGTCGTTCTTGAACACTCCGCCGAACAGCATCGGACCGCGTCAGTTCCTCACACAAGTGGCGACGGTTGCGCAGTCGGCAGCCCGCAAGGGAGTCGCGAGGTCTCGCCTGGATCCGCGTATCCCTGCGCTCCGCTGAACCTCCCAGGAGCAGACGAGAGTAGCGACAGTTGCGCAGTTGGCAGCCCCAAGGGGCCTCGAGATCTCGCCATGGTCCGCGTGCCCCTCCGCTCCGACCCACGACTATAGCGACCATTGCACAGTGGCCTGTCTTTGCTCCTCTTCCTCCTGCTGCTCCGTTTCACTCGCACTCACTCCTGATCCTTGCGCCTTCTCCTCACGCATCTTCCTCCTCCTCCTCCTTCTCCTCCTCCTCTTCGTTCTGCTCCTCTTCCTCCTCGTCCTCCTCCTCCTGGCGCATCCTCGCACCGCTCGTCGCGATCCACCCCACGCCTACTCCTTCTGAATTACCCCTCGTTTCACCTCGCTCCGCATCCTCATCCTCACCCTCATCCTCATCCTCCTCCTCCTCCTCCTCCTCCTCCTCCTCCTCCTCCTCCTCATCCAACTCCCTACTCCTTTCATCGTCATCATCATCCACCTATTTCTCTCTCCATCCTCGCTTCTCCACTATCCACCCTCGAAAAGACTGTTGGAACTTTGTCGAGGCGCCCTGGACCGTCTTGGAGACCTGATAGCACTACTCTGGGGCGATCTTGGGATCGAAGACTTTATTCAACCCGACACGCGGCCCTGTCCAACACGGCGGGCTCCAATTGTCAAAAGATAGCTCACACGAACTACCCGCTTCAACACGCATCCCGGAACTGATGGACAGCCCTGGTGCTTGAGCCGCTGGCTGCTGATTATGCTGATCGCCGTCATTGGCGGCTGCATGATGTGGCTCAGTGATACATGCTATTGCTTGGTGCTGCGCTCCCTTGTTTGCTGCTGCGTATTGCTGGTCCATGCTCTCACGCCCACACTCCTACTCATCCACCTCATCCTCCTCCTCCTCCTCCTCCTCCTCCAGGTCTTCGCTCAACCCCTTCACTGCCCATCCTCACTGCTCCTCCTCGCTCCTTGCATGCCCTCCTCTACGCTCCTCTTCCTGATCCTTCTCCTCATCCTCGTCCACATCCCAATATTCCTCCTCCTCCTCCTCCTCCTCCCCGTTGCTTATCCTGCTCCTCCTCCTCCTCCTCGTCATCATCATCATCATCATCATCAGCAGCATCATCATCATCATCAACAACCACCACCACCATCATCATCATCATCGTCGACGTCGTCGTCGTCATCATCATCATCATCAGCATCATCATCATCATCATCATCAGCATCATCATCAGCATCATCATCATCATCAGCATCAGCATCAGCATCAGCATCATCATCATCATCATCATCATCATCACCACCACCACCACCACCACCACCACCACCATCATCATCATCATCATCATAATCATCATCATCATCATCATCATCATCATCATCATCATCATCATCATCATCATCATCATCATCATCATCATCATCATCATCCTCATCATCATCATCATCATCATCATCATCATCATCATTTGCATCATCATCAGCATCATCATGCTACTCCTCCTTGCCCCCTCTATTCCTCACGACCCTGCTCAGCTTCGTCGCCCTTACCAATCTTCCTCATCACTCATCCTCGCTATTGTCGTCGTCCTGCTCGTCACCCCCGCCTACTCTTCGCTTTTGCTCACTCCTCTACCTCCTCCCCCTCCTCCTCCTCCTCCTCCTCCTTCTCCACCTCCTCCTCCTCATCCTATCTCATCCTCCTGCTCCCCCTCTTCCTCCTCCTCCTCGGCCTCCTCCTCCTCAATTACACCATATGAATGCAAATGAAATCCACTCTCCTCTCTACCCTCATGACGTCTGGAAGATATCCGGCCCCACTCCGCGTACTTGTTTTTTTACACAGGATTCCCGGGAACTGGGTTTTCGCTTGTTTTGTTTTTCTGTTTTTTTTCAAATGATGATCCCGCTGAAGCGCTGGCCTCATGTTCGGGCTTCCGCTCGTTCCGAATCGTGCTCCCGCTGCAGCGCTGGCCTCACTTCCGCGCTTCCGCTCGTTCCGAATCGTGCTCCCGCTGCAGCGCTGGCCTCACTTCCGCGCTTCCGCTCGTTCCGAATCGTGCTCCCCATGCAAAGCTGGCATCATTATTTCCAGTGCCATGCCACGGCACGGTTTTCTTTTCTTCCAAGAGCCCCCCCCCAAAAAAAACACAAAACCATCGGAAGTGATTACACATTCGGTGCCGATTCGTTGGTTTCTGGGGCCGCAGAAGTCCTCCCCCCACTTTGCGGCTTCGCCACGCCATGTTGTGTCATGCTGCGCGTTGATTTTCAACACCATGCTATGCCATGTAATGCTATGCCATGCTGGGACATCCGACTGTGCGAATAGAGAGGATATCTACGCCATGGTAAGGGATGGGAGGGAGGGGTAGGACGTCAGATATGACGCGAGCGCACCTGGCTTGTCCTCCTCGCCCTCTTCCTCCTCCTCCTCCTCCTCCTCCTCCTCCTCCTCCTCCTCCTCCTCCTCCTCCTCCTCCCCCTCCCCCACCTCCTCCCCCTCCTCCTCCTCACCCTCCTCATCCTCCTCGCTAAACCTCGCTCATCCTTGCTCCCCGTCTCGCCTCCGTCTTACCGCGCTGGTCGCGTTCTTGCTCATCGAGTTGCCAGCCTTCCAACCACTTCGCCAAGCATCCAGCCCACAGGAGACAGGCCGAGCCGTGCAGGCAATCAGAAGAGGGGGCGGCGGCAGAGGACGGAGAAGCCGTGCAGATAGTTCTCCCAGGTGAACGTGCTCCCCAGCATCACCTGCTCGCTGCTGCCGCCGGTGACCCCGTCCACCGCCAGCAGCCCGAGCTGCTCCAGCAGCCCGAGGGCCTCCGAGGTCAGGCTCTCCCAGCCCTCCGCGATCCTGCGCAGCACCTCGGCACCGTCCACAGAGGGGATCCCTCGCCCCCACGGGCGTGGCCTTGGCCACGCTGGCCGCCTTACTCCAGATTTCGTAATAAAAGGGAGAAGTCTGGACCCTCCAAGACAAGCCATTTCAGAGCTCCCCCGTGGGAGAACCCTCCAAAACATCGTCCCCAGACCCCCCCAGGCCCTCCAAGATAGCCTGGAAGAGACCCCCCCCGAAATGAGACCCCCTCCCTTTTATTACGAAATCTGGAGTACCCACCTGGGTGGGGATGTCTGTCTCGTCCTTCGGCCCTTCGCGGGCCCGATCGCCACTCAGGCCGGGGGGGCTGCTGGGGCCGAGCTACCATCGCCCGGTGGGGACAGGGGCAGTGAAACGACAGAGGATGGGGACCAGCTCGGGGATAGGGAGAAACATCGGCCTGGAATCAGCGATGCGTCGCCGCTAGATCGGCGCTAGGCCCCCGATACGGTAGAGGGAAACAATTAGTGAACACCCCCCCTGCCCCCCAAACTCAAAGTTGGCACGCGGGGGGGAGACTGCGGTCGAGGTGCAACTCATCAGACCCACCGCCAACTTTGAACATTGGGGGGAGGGGGAGGCGTTCACAGATGAATGTGGCATGAGTGTTCGCTATTTTTTTCCGAGGCCTGTGGCAAACCCGTACGTGCCCAGGGCTGGGTGGGCCATCAGGCCCCTGTCGGTGATCAATGGGCAACTGGGGGCCGATGCAGCACCCCCTGAGCCTACCCCCCCTGACGTTCCCCCTAGGTTTTCGGGTCGTATCTCGGCTGTCCAGCGGCCGTTCGGGACGGCCCGGGCACCCCAAGAACGCCCTCGGCGAGGCGCAGCTGCTGGAACGCAAGCCGAGCCTGGAAAGCCGCAAAAAGAGAGAGAGAGAGAGAGACACAGCACCGACACGTCGGAAAATTCAAACATCGAACATGGGAAAACCTCAAAGATCCAACGTTGCCCATACAGTGGAGGCTATTGGAGGCTCTAGTCCACAAGAACCTTCCACGAGACACCCGACCCTGAGACCCCAGGGCGTCCATTGCGCTTCGGCGTGGGAGCGCCACGCTTCTCATCGCAAAACCATTGAAGCCCAAGAAACCCAGGGCACCCTGGAGTTGTGTTGCTCCCATCCTACTCGAGGGCCACATCCCAGAAATGAGTTCAAACACCCCGAAGAGTATCGAAACGGTGTCGAACGAGTATCGCCTCCCAGGGCCCGACACGTGACAACCTGCCAGTTTCGGTACCCTTCTCCGTGCGCGAGATTATTTTCCCGGTGGTCGAGGCTAAAGCAAGTTGGAGCATCATAACCCTGGAGGCAAGCAGCAGGGTGCTCCCCGGCATGGGCCCCCGCTGGGTTCACGCTGCCCCCCGAGCCTGCCTGGGGCGTGGCGCCCGCGGGGCCGGAGTCGGGCTCGCCGCCCCGCGCGTCCGTGTCCGGGGCGCCGACCCTCGCAGAGGAGCAGCAGAACACAGACTTAAGGGGAAGAGGGGGAGGAGGAGGAGGAAAGGGAGGAGGAGGAGGAAAGGGAGGAGGAGGAGGGGGAGGAGGAGGAGGAGCAGGAGGAGGAGGAGGAGGGGGGGGAGGAGGAGAGGAGGAGGAGGAGGGGGAGGAGGGGGAGGAGGAGAAGAACGCAACATAGTTTAAAATAACCCAACACGGTCGGAACATCACCCAGGGACTATTTGTTCGCTGGCTTTAGTTTGTCTTCCTGTGCAGGAGCGCGCCCGACTGAAACATAGACGTAGGCTGTTGGAGCCCCGCCCGGAGTTCTCGCATCGGCGCTGGAGGCGCCGCCAGAGGGCTCCCGCGCCGATCCAAGAGATCCGCACGGAAAGCCGGCGATTTCAGTTTGCAGTCAACCCGTATCAGAAGGACGCACGGTAATAATGCAGGGGCACCGGAAGGAGGACATGTCGACGCTTTGCGAGCGGGGCGCGGCCTGCGAAAGCGGCCAAGGATGGGCCGCAAGGGAAGGCTGCAAGGGTTCGGTGGTAACTCATGGGAGCCTCCTGTACCATCTTGCTGGGTCTTGCGAATCGACGCTCGTCGACGCTCATCGACGCTGAATCGACGCTACATCGACGCTAAATCGGCGCTAGCCGACGCTAGATCGGCGCTATCTCATCCACTCCCAGACGCCAATCGACGCCGAGAGACGCTCAAGGCAGTAATTGAGAGAGTCTACCAGGCTCCCATGCTTTGCTGTCGAGCAGGGGTAATTTTGGAGAATCGCTCACCCTCACTGTGCGGGTTGGCTGGGCGTCGCGCTTTCTTGCCCGGTCTTCGGCCTCACCAGCGCCCTGGCGGCCTCGTGCTCGCCCCGTGCCCACAGGTCGTCCCGCAGGTACTCGAGGCTCGGCAGCGCGTCGTCGCGGGCCTCGCCCTCCGGGACCTCCTGTGCGAGCCGGGGCGCCCATCCGGACCCACCACCCATGGAGCCGATGCTCGGCGACCCAAGGAGGCCTCTGATCCTTGACACGCTTTGGAGCGACCGTTAGCCTATCTTTCGAGGAGCATTTACACTCTCCTGGCTTTGTGTGGCCGCTCTTGGTGCCTTGCGGCGTCTTCCTTATTCCAGAACTGTTGTTCCAGGTTCTAGCCTGCGGTCGGTTGTTCCTGCTGTACAGCTTGACGGCTCAGCGACCCAGGGGGGGGGGCGGTGGATAGGGATGTCTGGGGGAAGCCCCTGGGTGCCCCAAACGCATCCGCATCCACCGCCGCCCGATGTCCAGGCAGATCGGTTTCCCCAGGTGGCGGGCAGGGACCACTCCCAGCCTCGGATCCTGGCAGGCCGCGGTCCACGTGGGTACGACGTCGTCAACGTCGCCCGTGGAGTAGGCGTAGATGGCAGAGGAAGAAACAGCTGCATAGATACGCTGCGTAGATACGTAACACCCCGCAGTTGCGGATAAGAATGAGGGGGGCGGCGGAGACGTCGGCAGCATGCGAGGCTCTGAGGAAGCCCGCCGCAGGCGCATACATGTACAAACCATGCAGCGAGCCCGCCGCAGGCGCCGATTCTTTTGTTAAAGGTATGTGGGTGGGTCGCGGGTTGGGTCGCGGGTGGGTCGCGGGTGGGTCGCGGGTGGGTCGCGGGTGGGTCGCGGGGTGGGTCGCGGGTGGGTCGCGGGGTGGGTCGCGGGTGGGGTCGCGGGCCAGGTGGCGGTGGGTCGCGGGCTATGTCGTGGGGTGGGTCGCGTGGTTGGTCGCGGGTGGGCCGCGGGTTGGGTCGTGGGTGGGTCGCGGGGTGGTTCGTGGGTGGGTCGCCGGGTGGGTCGCGGGTGGGGTCGCGGGTGGTTCGCGGGCCGGGCGGCGGGGGGGACGACGCCAAACAAAAACAATCAAACAACAACAACAACAACCACAACAACAACAATTATCCCAGTGCGACCCTACCTAGGAGTTGGAGCCTCTAGGAAAGCAAAATTAGTAGGAGCGGTAAACGCCGCCCTCTTCCTTCTCCTCATCGTCGTAGTTGTAGCAGTAGCGGTAGTAGTAGTAGTAGTAGTAGTAGTAGTAGTAGTCGTAGTAGTAGTAGTAGTAGTAGTAGTAGTAGTAGTAGTAGTAGTAGTAGTAGTAGTAGTAGTAGTAGTCGTAGTAGTAGTAGTAGTAGTAGTAGTAGTAGTAGTAGTAGTAGTAGTAGTAGTAGTAGTAGTAGTAGTAGTAGTAGTAGTAGTAGTAGTAGTAATAGTAGTAAGTAGTAAGTAGTAAGTAGTAGTAGTAGTAGTAGTAGTAGTAGTAGTAGTAGTAGTAGTAGTAGTAGTAGTAGTAGTAGTAGTAGTAGTAGTAGTAGTAGTAGTAGTAGTAGTAGTAGTAGTAGTAGTAGTAGTAGTAGTAGTAGTAGTAGTAGTAATAGTAGTAATAGTAGTAGTAGCGCCAGAACCGCCGACGCCACGCCGTAAGTGAAGCAAGCAGGCACGGAGATGAGGGCGGGGCACTGGGGAGTTCTTTGCCTTTGCCTTGTGCTATGTGCGAAACCTTCGTGAATCCTAAGGGCTCAAGCTGCCCACCTAAGGACTCAAGATGGCCCACAGAGGGACAACATGCATGGAACATACGTGCGCACACACATATAAGTACATACATATATAGCAGCAGCAATAGTGGATGCTTTGCTGCGCTATGCTATGCTATGCTATGCTCTGCTCTGCTATGCTATGATATGCTATGCTATGCTGCGCAATGCTATGCAGGGCTGGGCTAGGCTAGGCAATGCTATGCTGCGCTATGCTATGCTGCGCCATGCTATGCTGCGCTATGCTATGCTTTTGCTTTGCCTTCGCTTTTGCCTTCACTTGTGCCTTTGCTTTTGCTTTTGCTTGGCACCCAGGGAGCGCAACTGGGGGAACCGCGCGTTTGCTTTTACCTTTGCTGTTGCTTTTGCTTGGCTCCCAGGGGACTGGGGGAACCGCCCGGGGCGATTTCCACTGCCCGGCCCCTTTAAGCGAAGCGAGTTAGAACCCTTCTAGGCAGAGCCTAGGTAGGGAACAACAACAACAACAACAACAACAACAACAACAACAACAACAACAACAACAACAACGACGACAGCAACACCAACAACAATCAAACAACAATTAAACAACAATCAAACAACAATCAAGCAACAACAGCACCAACAACCACACCACCAACAACAACGCCAACAGCAACAGCAACAACAGCACCACCAACAACAGCAGCAACAACAATAGCAACAGCAACAGCAGCAACAACAGCAGCAGCAACCACAAGAATCCGCACCGCGGATTCTCCCACTTCAGCCACGCGCCCAGGGGCAGTGTCTGACCCTTCGGCCCCCCCTCACTCTGACAACTTTCGAAACTCCGCGCGGATTTCTTGGGTCGGCGCCGGACCCCCCCCCCCCCCCCCAGCGCGCGGAGCGCGCCAGGGGCGGCGCTGGAGGCGCCGCCAGAGGGACTCCAGCGCCGACCCAAGAAGTCTGCGCGGGGCTCCCAAAATCTGCGTTTGCGCATGCCGCTCTCGGACCAGAGAACAGACGACACCACCCCGCCTACGGCCCTAGGGGGGCTTATAGCGTACATATACCAGGATGTCCGGCGTGGGCCTTTTTGCGTGGTATAGTTACGCCACGGCGCCCGGTGGGCCGTCGCGCAACATGGAGGGCCGTAGGTGAGATGGTGCCGCTTGTTTTCTGGCGGAGCCTTTGCTTCCTCGAGATGATCTTGGCGTACTCCCTCCAGCAGGCCCGCGCGGTGCACCCGTCGGCGCCCGGGGGGAAGGAGAAGAGATACCCCTCCGAGGGGCCTCCCTCGGGCCCCTTCTCCCAGCAGGCGCAGGAGGCGCTGTCGGAGGGGCGAACACGGCAGATCACGGTGACTCGGCGGAGGAGGAGGAGGATTCGGCGGAGGAGGAGGAGGAGGATTCGGCGGAGGAGGAGGAGGATTCGGAGGAGGAGGAGGACGAGGACGAGGAGGGGAGGAGAAGGAGGGGGAGCAGGAGGAGAAGGAGGAGGAGGAGGCGGAGGAGGAGGAGGGGGAGCAGAGGAGGAGGAGGAGGAGGAGGGGAGGAGGAGGAGGAGGAGGAGGAGGAGGAGGAGGAGGAGGAGGAGGAGGAGGACCCGCGCCCAGCGCGAGCGCGTGGGGCGCGCCGGGAAAGGGGTGCGGGGATGCCCTGAGCCCCGACGCTGCAGATCAACTGCACACATCGCAAGAGATCACCGCAAGAGCCCCAAAACCCCATCTTTCTGCGGCTGCGGATCGAACCGGGGCTAGCCACCCGGCCAGTGCGGGCGTGTTCGTCGGGGTTCCGGCCCCGAGACCATCGCAGGTCGATCGGGTTCGAACGGTTCCGCAGAAAGGTGGGGTGCACGGCCCCAGTCGCGATTTTTCGCGATGCTGCAATTTTTTCGCGACGTATCGCAGCCGCAGCCGCAGAAAGATGGGCTTCGCGATGCTGCGCACAATTGGCTTTCGAGCCGGATCGATCTGCGAGGGTCCCGGGGCCCGACATGTTGCGTAAACGCCCGCTGTATAAACAGATTGCCACGCCAGGATCTCAGGGCCCTCCTCTTTCGTGCGGTCGGCAACACCGCCCACTGATCCACTGATCTGCTGTGAGAGCCAGATCTCGTCAACGACTCGCCGAAGCGTTCAAAAAGGAGGAGCAGGGGGAGGGACAGGGGGAGGAGGGGAGGGGGGGGGGGGAGCAGGGGAAGGAGGGGCAGGAGGAGGAGGGGGGAGGAGAAGCAGGAGGAGGGGGAGGAGGAGGAGGAGGAGGGAGGAGGAGGAGGAGGAGGAGGAGGAGGGAGGAGGACGAGGAGGAGGAGAAGGAGGAGGTGGAGGAGGAGGAGCAGGATGAGCAGGAGGACGAGGAGCAGGAGCAGGATGAGGAGAAGGAGGAGGAGGAGGAGGGAGGAAGAGGAGGAGGAAGATGAGTCAGCAGAAGCGAAGAGCAGGTGGGAGTGACGAGGAGGACGACGACCACAGCGAGGACGAGAGATGCGGAGAATGATGATGATGATGATGATGATGATGATGAGGAGGAGGAGGAGGAGGAGGATGAGGCAGCGTAAACACAATATTCATCAACGATGTCGGAATAAACCCTCCCTCCAAGCTCCCTCTTCATACGCCCCTGCAACGGTTCATTTCCACTGAGGGAACTGCCTTGTTGGAAGGCAACCGTGTGAAAACCCTGAAGCATGCCAGAACATTGTTCTTGGGACTCCAACGCCACGGGTAAATCTGACTGTTGCGTTCTGACGATCCAGGACCGTGCCAGAACGCCATTCCTGCGATTTCATCACCGCGAATCAACGTACCTGTTGCGCCCTCAGAATCCTGAATCCTTCCAAAACACCATTTCTGGTACACTGGTCATGGGAACCCGTGAAACTCTTGCAGACTTTGAAATCGAATGCGCGCGGCGCCAAGGCGAGAACCATATTTTGAAAAGGAACCGCCCTCAATCCGTGAAACTCTTGCAATGTTGAAAACGAATGCCCGCGGCGCTAAGGCGAGAACCACGTTTTGAACACCAGTCGCTTTCAATCCGCGAAGCTCTTTCAATGTTACAAAAACGAATGTGCGCGGCGCTAAGGCGAGAGCCACATTTTGAAAACGTCCCGCCCTTCATCTGTAAAACCGCTGCCAATGTTTAATTTTCAGGGCCACCAATAATGAGGACGTCTCAGGCGAAACGCCGGGCCTACCCTAAACACTGGCCTCGGACTGCGACAGGGCGACGTCTTTTAGAAGGGAAATGAATGGACGAGGAGGAGGCGGATAAGGAAATGGAGGAGGAGGAGGAGCAGGAGGAGGAGGAGGAGGAGGAGGAGGAAACAGATGATGAGGAGGAAGAGGGGTAGCAGGAGAATGAGGAGGAGGAGCAGGAGGAGGAGGAGGAGGGGGGAGGAGGAGGAGGAGGCGAGAAGCAAGAAGCGAAGAGCAGGTGGAGTGACGAGGAGGACGACGACCACAGTGAGGACGAGGAGATGGGGGGGGGGAGGAAGAGGAGGGAGGAGGGGAGGAGGGGGAGGGGGAGGAGGGGGAGGGTGAGGAGGGGGGAGGGGGAGGGGGAGGGGGAGGAGGAGGAGGGGAGGGGGAGGGGAGGGGAGGAGGGGGAGGGGAGGAGGAGGAGGAGGAGTGAGGAGGAGGAGGAGGAGGAGGAGGAGGAGGAGGGGAGGAGGAGGAGGGGAGGGGGAGGATGACAAGGGGCTCGAATCGCAGTGTGCCCCAGGCTGGGCCGCAGCGACGCGGAGTCGAGTCTCGAGTTGGATCGGCACCGCCAGGAGGCAGCACAGCGCCAGTCGTCCGTTGCCCGTGCCGTGTCTTGAACTGGGGCCCCGTCGCCGCTGGTGAACAACATTGGGAACTGGGGTTCCAGCGCCGACCAGAGGAGGAGGAGGAGGAGGAGGAGGAGGAGGAGGAGGAGGAGGAGGAGGAGGAGGAGGAGGAGGAGGACGAGGGGGCCCTCCGAACGTTCATGTTCAAGCCAGCGTTTGCCCTTCCTGCTGTGGCCGCCAGGGCGCCCAGGCCCGTGGACCCGCATGAGGTGGGGAGCCATGACGAAGTCGAAGAACACGTCCGCCCTGCACTGCGACGGGTCGCAGGGCGTCCGCGCGTTTCGGTCCAGGTCCTCGCGGGTCAGGAGCGGTCCCAGGGAGGAGCCTCGCTGGATGGCGATGGCGCAAGTCGTGTCGGCGGCCTTCCGGAACTCGGTGGCGGGGCCTCTCGGCGGCGAGCCGGGCGGGGGGGGCGGGGCTAGACCCCCGTCGCGGCGGGAACAGAAGAAGTCATATATATATATATATATATATATATATATATATATGAAATCTTTTGCTCCTTATAAAACCTTGTGGGGTTTTCACGGTTGTCGGCCTCCTGCGGGCCATGACCAGGCGCCGGGACCGCCAAATAGAAAAGCCGAGGGCGAAAAGGCCAGGGGGAAGGGGCCGAGACCTCCTGGGGCCCACGCTTGGCCACCGCGAGGCGCGACGCCGTGGCTCTGGCGGGGGCGAGGGGTCGGCGGCCGCCTGGCAGGACAGGGGGGGCTTCTTAGAAGGCAGCGTGCCTCCCTGAGGGGGAATGAAAGGGTACTCCAGATTTCGTAATAAAAGGGAGGGGGTCTGGACCCTCCAAGACAAGCCATTTCAGACCTCCCCCGTGGGAGAACCCTCCGAAACATCGTCCCCAGACCCCCCCAGGCCCTTCAAGATAGCCTGGAAGAGACCCCCCCCGAAATGAGACCCCCCTCCCTTTATTACGAAATCTGGAATATAAGAAAAAACGCCATAAAAAAAAAAAAAACA